AAGGATACGTAGGCACAAGATGCGATGTCTTGCCGAGTAAACTTAGAATTAACCCCTTAGGCCTCTTTCTCACTTTTAACCCTTTGTACATATACCTTAAGCAAATAAATAAAGCAAATAGTAAGCATTGAACAAAAGGTTCCTGTAGAGTACTACAAAAGTTTAGGGTGCTAATACCTTCCCTAAATTTAACCAACCCCCGAACCCTAGATCTTTCCCCCGCATTGTGTTTACGATGCAAAAATAGGTTTTCCCTCTTTTGACCTTTTCCTTCGGATAAATCAAAGAGCGGTTGTGAATTGAATTGCGATTCAAACTCATTAATAGTTTGAGATCCTATTTCCACCGCAACACTTTGCTTCTGATTCTTTACTTCAGTAGCCTTGCTTCTGTAGCTTTGCTTCAGAATCACTAACCATTGAAGGAGTATATGTCTTGATTGACAGAGCTTTTTCAACATCAGTGTTACAAAACCTTCTGTACAACTACTGATCTGCCTTCACTAGCCTCTTCTTTTCCTAGAGTGCTAGTTTCAACTACTGCTTGCATACACTCAGCAAACTCCTTTCCAAGTAAAGTATATGGTTCCATAGAAAAATATTTCAACATAAATTTGACTGATTTAAAATATCTTCCTTAATGATTTATGGAAAAGAGTAGTATAAACTTTTCTTCTGACAAAATAATTTTTCAGAAAATTACTTAGCCTTTTATACCAATGCTCTGGGAGCTTGTATTAGGCCAAGAATAATTTCTTTAAAATTATAGAATAGTTTCTGGAAATTTTTATTTTCAAAACTGGGAGTTGATTAACACATACTTCCTTTTCAATAAAACCATTAAAAAATATTTTTAATATTCATCTGATTTATATTGATGTTATACTGATCAACAAAGGAGATTGACAAGAGTATGAATTTTAACCTTGTCACAGAAGCATATGTCTTCTGTGTAGTCAAAAACTTCTTGCTAACTAGCTTTGAGAAGAGAGAATCTTGTTCTTTTGGAATCATCCTTCTTTCCAATGAACGTGTCTTCTGGAAGAGAAGATTTGACTCTGAGAGAAACTACTCAAGGTAGATTCTTCAGAAGCAGCTAATTGAGTAGCATCTGAGGTAGCTTCTGATTCTTCAGTTGGAACACAATCTGCTTCTGATTCTCCAACATCTTCATTAATCACAACAACATCCATCTGATTCATGAGAGATATCCTCAAAGCACAAATATTCTGATCTTCATGAGTAGAGAGCACCTAACTTCCATCAACCTTCATCTTCTGAATTTGTCTACTTGAAACAAATACAGATCCAATCTAGATACAATTATCATCAAACTCAGATGTATCAAGAGACACAGTCTGATTGACAATTTTGCTCTTACAATGCTGAGCTAACTTGTAAAGAGTTAGATCAACAGAGTTTAACATCTGCTATTGAAAAAGAATATCTACTGACTTATTCAGATTGAATAACACCAGAGACTTAAATCCTTTTTACCTCAGACAGAATGACTACTGTCCTTGTATCTTTCCACACAACTTTATTTCTCAAAACATTCATCAAGAATTTATAAAAAAATAATGCCTGAAAACATCTGATCAATTACAGTTTGTTCAACTGAGATAACATCTCAAGTTAACAGAACTTAATTGTTCATGCTTCTTCAAATCAGATCTTCTGAATTTCATCATATCCAGATGAGTTGATAAACACTGCTTATCTTGAAACCTCTGCAGAATTCTTTGAACCTTCTTCAAGAATAGCAACTTTCAAATGCTTTGAATCTGAAGAGTCATTTCTTCCAGATTTGAACATTCTTCTGAACTTGCCCTTTTCTGCAGACTACATTCTGGCGTTCTGATGAATATGATTCATTAGCCAACAATATATCTTTTCTTACTTAAGATAAATCCCAATGAGTTTTCATGAGAAATCAAGTGTGGACTAATCCGTTTCTTGAAAACATCTCATACTCACCAGAATAAATCTTTAGAAATTAAGATTTCTTGTTTGCTGAAGATTTGAACTTTGAGCAAATACGTTGAAAATCCAAACGTATTTTAAGATCAACATTCAACAGATATATCTTCTTATCTGATGAATTTATCTTGTCAGCTAATTCTTCATTCTCCTTTCAGAATCTAATGGAGGAGATTTGTTGTTGAAAGCTTCAACACTTCAAACTTCAAACTTCACAGAATCAGTGACTAGCTCAAGGTATCCAGATGGATTACAATTTTAGTACTCATTATCCTCAAAATCTGATATGAGACGGAAATTGTAAGAACAGTGAAAAATCCCCAAAAGTATTTCTTCACACAGCCTATAGATCTTTATGTGACACTATTAGGTGTTTGATATCCATCAATAACAGAACCGGAGCTCTGATACCAATTGAAGGTGTGAAATAAACATAAGAAAGGGGGGGATTGAATTGGGTTTATGCCTTAATAAAAACTTTTTCCTTTTCTTATCTTCTTCTTCACTTGTTGCTTTATGCGCTCATATCAAATGCATTACGGAAGCATAATAATAAAGCATACTATAAGTAAAGAACACAACATATATCCTGGTTCACTTGAGCAACTCTCAAGCTAATCCAGTCCACCATTCCAAGGTGATTTCGCCTCACTTAAGCAAGGACTTAATCCACTATAACCAAACTGATTACATATATGCACAAGCTAACCGCGAGTGACTAACAATTAATCAATGACACGTTCAGGGATCCCCAAGGATATAACGTTCATTGACACCTTAATAGAATCCGATCACTAAAGATCTCCTATTAGGATTTCCACAAATGACTACTGTCACTTTTCATCTCAAGTATACTGATCTTCACAAGATCACTTGAGGAACCCACTAATTCTAAAATAGAATGTTGTGTTGCCGGAGATTACATGAGTGCTTCTTATCAAGCGTATTACTCCTAATTAAGCACATAACAAGTATTGAGCAACAACTCCTTGCTTCCTAATACAGAAACTAATCTAATGATGAATCTCTAAGAGATTATAAGAACATAGTTTCCATATTGCTTAAAAGCTTTTTTGTGTGTGAGCACTAAGGTTTCTTTTCATTTAAGCTTTTCTTCTTTCTTTCTTTCTTCACTTCATGCTTACTAGCATGGTAACATTTGAATGAATCAAATGTTATTTCTTATAGTGCAGCTTAACAGCAACAGCGTTGCTTGACTCAGCAACCCAACGACATTTGAATGATCAAATGATTATTCTTTTATAGTGCTTCCAAGAATGACATTGTGAGGATAGAAAAGTCCTTTCTATTTCCAACGGTCATATTTCAACGAATAGAATGAGCACGTGTTGGATGATATCACTTTCTTGTCCTTTTCCATAAGCACATGATTTATCATATTTGAACAGCAACAACTTATCTGATGTAACATGTCTTGCATCTGGATGAATCTTCTTCTGACATAATCTTCCACTTCAGAATCCAGTCTTCAACATTCTAAGAACTGAGTTTCCTCTGAAACAATCTTGAGAATCTTTATGACTAATTCTTCAGAAACCATGTCTTCAGAATCTTCAGAGTCTTGACCTTCAGAACACTTCTTCAGAGTCTTGACTTTCAGAAAACATCTTCAGAGTCTTGACCTTCAGAACCCGTCTTCAGAGTCTTGACCTTAGAACTCATCTTCAGAGTCTTGATGCACTTGGTCTTCAGAGCCTTTAGCCTTAAGAACTTCAAGTCATCAGAGTCTTGACCTTCAAAACCAGTCTTCAGAGTCTTGACGCACTTGGTCTTCAGAGCCTTCAGCCTTCAGAACTTCAAGTCATCAGAGTCTTCAACACTTTGTTCTTCAGAGGACTCACTCTTCAGAGACGCTCGTTAGCTTCCAGATCAGATGCATAACTCAGAGCAGAATCCATAGATGCATTGCAACTGCAATATCCATCATCCTTGATTCTTTACTGATCATGATTAAATACAGAAACAAACTTGCTTCTACTTTAAGCTTCGTTTGCTTTCAGATCAGATTCACTTCTTTAGAGCAGAATCTACAAGAGCATTGCAACAACAATATCCAGCATCCTTGGATCTTTATTGAATGTGATCAGATACATAAGCAAACTAGCTTCTCCACTAAGCGCTTCATGACGTCACACATAGTAAGTCCATATATACTAGCTGCACACGTTGCTTTTGTTTGTTTGATCTTATATATTTAATTTAACATGACCTGCACATAACAAACATTAAACCATAAAATGGTTCTTTCACAAATACTCAATTGTTATCATCAAAACATAAAGATAATCCTGTAGAGACAAATCTTACTCTTATAGAGGTCACCATCCAAATATTAGAGTCAGCCTCTGAAGATCAGACTTTGGAGAAGTTTGTTTCTGATTAGAACCTGGGTTAGTCAAAGTGCAAGGATCAAGGTGACATTGATATGTCACTGTCATCTCTAAACATACTTTGTCACGTGAAGGGTAAAACTCTATCTTCTTCACAGAGTCTATTGGGATACAACTGTTAATTCCTTTTGTAGCAAAGGTTAACATAATAGTTTGGTGAAACATCCTAACATCTCCCAACTTTTCTTTTGAAGCTTTTTAAAGAACTCTACTGTTGCATCTTCAACGTCTATTTTCTTTGCTATTTAAGGAGCTAAAAGACTTGAGATTAACAAAGGAACTAATACACATATACACGCTAAACATGCTAATAAACAACGATTGACAACTAAAGAGAAATTACTCTGGTAATCACACCCATATACAATTCTTCTACTTGCAAAGTTCTACCTAAAACTTATACAATACTAAAGTGCTAACATTTTAGCAATCACTTATAACTATCACCACCGCATTAGAAAGTTAGTTTTTTATTTTTATTTTTTTAAACCATGATCATCATGAATCTAAAACCTAAGTTGATAATTCATATTTCTTTCTTTCAAAAACTACAACCTATAGCAGTGGTCTTCCACACGGAGGACATAAGTTTGGCATATGCAATATAACCATGTCATCCTCCTCCTCCGCCTCCATTTCCTATATACTTCCCTCCCCACACTCCAACCTTCACAAATTCCAAACCTTCACTTCCAACCACTACAAACCCCAATCCCGTTTTCTCTTCTCCTTCCCCGTATCCAAAATCAACAGCGTTAGGAGCCTTAAAACCCGTTGCGCTTCAGATAATTCCTCTAGTTTCCATGGGGTCGAGTTCATTGTTTCCATTTTACCAGGAGGCGATTGGTGGTCATTACCGAAGCACCGGGAAGACCATGCAGAACCGGCAGAGGCTAAGCTCGCTCTCCGACGAATGTTGGAGCTAGTTGCCGATGAGCGGTGGGTTGCAGTCGTGGCATTTGGGTCCCTTGTCATTGCTGCTGTGAGTTTTTCTATACACTAACTAACTTTGTCTATGAAATGCTGTATGTTCCCTGCTTGTGTTTCAAAGGAAATCAATGTATGTAACTATTAGAATCAAAGAATCTAATTCTAATATTTTTTTTAGGATTATAATTAGTAATCATAGCTATCAATATTTATTTTGTACTTCTATTGCGAGTGTAGTCTGATTTAGACACATAATCACAGACTCACGACATGGTATTAGAGGTTGGTCCGTACTCGTTGTGGAGTTCCCAAATTGGTTGGGAATATGATAGTACTAGTTTTCTCTTTTCACGTCAAGGTTCAAAATCCCAGTCCATTGTCCATGGGCTCAGCCACCGCCAAGGCTAAACCTGCTTTATTTTTCTTACTTTGGTTGCTGGGTGTCAACAGAACCCATGGTATGGTGCCAAAACCAAAACCTTCAGTCTCACATCTAGTTTTTCTGTTAACTGTCCAACATACACAACCCTACATGCCATACTGACCCTACCATTAGATTCACTCAAATCATATTGCCCATTCACTGAAGCGCCATCATTATTCGCTGTCCCATGCACGCTCCCAACACTCCACAACCTCCTCATTTTCACTCACACGCCACTGTTAACAGTCGCAGATGCGTGCACGTTCTGTTGTCTTGTGACGAGTTTTTTGGGTCTCCTGCGTTGTTTTCTGTCGAGGTTCTGGATCTAATATCAATTTTTTATTGAGTACTTAGATTCATCTTCAAACATCTCTTGTTTCTTGGTTTTTGATCCATTGATTGATCATGGCTTCTTTGTCTTTGTTTTCGGGTTGATTTAATGTCAGCACTGTTTTGGCATTTGGATTTCTCTGTGTAGGTATTTTTCACACCTTGTGTACTGTTAACTCATTTATTGTAAATTCTATAGAGTGCAATTATTCGGTGCAGTATTAATGTCTTTCTTAAAATGTGAATTTGACCTAACTCATTTCTACAAAACCAACTTGTAAGGTTAGGATTTCCCCACTTATAAACATATATTGAGACCATATCCTTTTCAGCGTGGGACACTTTAACAGTCTTGTTAGTTCATATTTCTTTCTGATCCGATTTTGAACATCTTTTCATTCATAGCGTGCTTTCTGCCTTGTCTCAATTTGATAACTTATGGTAAGCTCTCTAGTCATTGAGCCCAACACAAGTCTCTGGTAGTCCCTTCGCCTCACAAATGTGAAGGTTGATTTGTTGGCACCAGTCATAGATGACATGTTCCACCTAAGTTAAGTTAGTTTTTCTTTTTTATAGTCCCGTTGATCAATTATCATCAAGTTGATTCACCGACGCCGATCACACAATTAAATTGGTTGTTTCAAGCAAAGGACAACACCAGACCAAATATCATATCAACTTTTTTAATAAGCTTTAGCTTGAAATGAAGTGTTAGAGTCTAATCCTAATACTCATTATTAGGATTATAATTAGTAAATCATATCAATCAATATTTATTGTATTTATTTTGTATTTCTATTATAAATAGAGATGACTGTAGTCTGATTTAGACCCATAATCACAAATTCAACAGTAACCACTAAAGAGTTCGAGAGGATGAGGATTGTCCACCACACGCTAAGTTGTAAGTACTAATTTGGTTATACCATCAGTCAACCGTGGGAGCTCCAACAAACTCTCCAAACTCACTTTTGAGGCCCTCTACATTTTTGCTGACATGCAGCATGCTAGTAGTATTTATTAACACATGATTGAGAGAGATAGATGATGGGTTGAAATTTATTGGAAATGGATCAAATTAGATGAAGTTTTACTTCAGATGTTCTTGTCTTATTTTTAAAACACCAAAGCTTGAATTGAATCCGAGCTATTTTAATTTGGTGTACCCTTTTACCTCTTTAAATAGGCAACAGGTTTACCTCTAAACAGGCCTAAGCTCTAATGGTTGCCAACAAGCCAATGTTTTTATACAAATAAGCAACTGTATAATTTATCGGTATACTAAAACAATGTAATTCAAAACCAACAACAATAACAACAATAATTTTTCATAAGGCTTACATGTTAAAGCTAAAAGATTTTTGATGGCGTAAATCACATGACCTTTTTTTAGCTTAATGGGATTTTTCAAAAGGTTTAAAATGCCTTAGCCTAGTCACTTAAGTAATTAGACTTGGTCATTAACTCTGACAAGTCACTAGGTCTATTTTCATTTGATGGATCAAAAGTGAATTCTCTAAGTTGCTTCACAATTATATTCTAAATCTAATCTTGTTTTTAATCTTTGGCTACGAAGATGTAAGACCTGGTGTGAAGGAGAATAGGCTAAAGTTCATGCAAATCAGCTTTGCATCAACTTTAGCCCAGGGAACTTCAAATGGCTCTAAGAATGGCACTACTAATGATAATTTCAGTGACTGATGCGGCATGATATATGTGTAGCACTGTAGCTTCATCACCTCTCTTCTGTTTTGTTCCATTCTATTAATATTAACATTTATTGCTTAGCATTTTTTGTATCTGCTGCTGCAGCTTTCAGAAATCACCATGCCAAGTATACTGGCAGCATCAATATTTTCGGCACAAAGCGGCGAGACTGCGGCTTTCTCTAGGAATGCAATGTTTTTGGTTCTTCTATGTTTCACTTCAGGGATATGCAGGTAATTCTTATAGAGCCTAATCTCTCTATCTAACATAATATTTAGTCACTTTTTCGAAATCTAATTAATGGGATATCCAAGGTACAAAACCAAAACGCACTCCAGACTAAACAAGGATCTATTCCTAAATAAAGGAGGTTGTCCTTAAGTAACCAGACCACTTTATAGTGGAAAAGTAGGTGAGGCTAATGATCTCCGGATTCTTAATACACACAACCCATATTTAAAATGCCTTACTGTCTGTAGCTGTTCAACTATTATTCAAATAAGGAATACTCGCCTCAAAATTAGTTTCCTTTTGGTGTGGTCTATTTGTTAGTATATGTTGGAATTTTCAGCGGTCCATCCCTAGTCGTGTTAATTGTGTCACTTTGACTTGCCTTCATTGCAGCTCTCAACATCTCCATTGTGTTGGATTTGAAGAGGTGGATTTAGTCCCACATTGCTTATAGATATGGCCGGTGTTGTGTTTATAAGTGGGGGCATCCCCACCCTACAAGCCCGTTTGGTATGATAGGGATGGGTTAGGCCCAACCCAACTTTTGAGATGTTATCAAAGCCTATCCTAAATCACGTGTTGGGCTTGTTAAAACAGTGGTTAAGTGTCGGGTTTTTGTTATCGTCTTCACAGGGAATATGAAATTTTGCAGCCTTTCTACAGTTGTTAAATTCGTAACTTTGTAGTAACAAAGTGTTTGGTTTTAAAACAATGGTAACTTTTGCATGTGAGTAATAAATGCGGTAAAATAATGATTTGAACGGTTTTAATAAATATTGCCAAAGTTAGGGTTCGGTAATCACTTTGCATGCATATTTCCAATCAACATTTAACAAACTCCTTTTAATGATCAATACATCCACAACATCCTCTCAATATGATTATCTCTAACTCATATTGTGAGATTTACCATTTTGATCCATTGTTGATCTCTCACACAATCTATCAAATGACAACTTTAAAGTTCAACATTATAAGTGAACAAAACATTTCAAGACTATCTCTAGCTCAAGAAAAGAGAAGGATGAAAACCTAGGTCTAGAGTTGGAAAATATTTCTCAATCATCAACCAACACAAAAGATTGTAAATGAAACAAAGTTTTCACCATATATTAATCATCCAAGAGTTTACAAATGAGGATCATCCATACACATACAAAGTTTAATAATCACCTACATCTAACCTTGACAAAAGATGAGTTTAGCTACACATTTTCATGGTAGCTTTAACAAGAAGAAAGGAGAAGATGAAGAACATCCACTTTGAAGAAACAATGAAGGATGTGCTTCCACTTCTCTTGATTACAAAAATAGTAAAGATGAAGAAGAACTCAAGTATTTAGGGTTCTAGAGCTATCCAATAATGTCTTCCTTTTGATTTTTCAAGATGATGCTTTTTGAAGTACCAAGTATGGGCTAAATAGAGCAACAAATAAAGTAAAAATGATGTGCTGTCTGCGCACATTCGCCTGGCGAAGGCATTCATTCGCCCGGCGAACCAACTTAACATGGCACTTCAAAGTGCCTCTGATCAGCAAACCGCCCTTAGGAATCGTGCATTCGCCAGGCGAATAAACACTCGCCGGGCGAACATTCGTTGGCTTCACTCGCCAGGCGAACTTTGGGTGGTTTTGCTACTGGAATCTGCATGAGGAAAGCTACCACTTCTTCGCCAGCACCTTCGCCAGGCGAATGGTAGCGAAGCTTCGCTGGAACCTTCGCCTGACGAACTTCCTATCCTTTGGGTCTGGGAGTTAAATCTGATTTATTCGCCCCAGTTCGCCGGCACTCGCCTGGCGAACATTCGCTGGCACTCGCTGTGGCTCGCCAGGCGAATGTCTTGATTTGCAACATCTCCCAACTGCTTTGCCTTGATCCCAAGTGCTCTTATTAGTGTCAATCTTGCACACTAACAGCAATATTACAAACATTCTTCGCTTGGATCGCATAAAATGAAACTAAACCAATTCGACTACGAAATCAAACATTATTAGATAAAATTGATTGAAAATACTACCAAAAAGAAACCAAATATCTAATCTAAATGAGATCTAACAACTCTCCCCAACTACCTATTTGCGTGCCCTCAAGCAAAGTATGCCTCTCAAAACAAAATGAGGATTTGCTCAAGACCAATTCAATTCAAGTGAAACTATATGGCTCAAATACACAATATGTGCAACAAGGTCACAAAATATTACATAATTCCACAATAGATAATGTTTAAGAACTAAATTCTAAGAACAAATTTTAAACAATGCTTCAAGCAACAACTAAATCTCATGACAAGTCATTCTAACACTCCACTTCGAAAAAGGATTGAAGCAAAAACACGCGTGCAAGCGTGGGACAAAAATTCACTCCAATGATGAACAATGCAATACTACATAATTCATAAAATATCTACATATTCACCACAAAATTATGGAAGTTCAAGATCACAAAGGTCTTCAAAGGTTGTAGCTTGGCCGGGTTAACAAACAAGGGACATATCTAAAGCCATTGAACGAAATTTCCGATGTAGGAGAGACATTCGCTCTACACTTATTTACACATCTTCAACTTGTTTAACAAGTTCCTCATTTGAAACCCTTCACAACTCATATTTCACAACTAACTTTGTTTTTCAATATTTTTCTACCAAACAAGCAAATATTTTCATATATATATATTTATTTTTTTTTACACTGTAATCGCAAAAACGAGTGTTTTTTTTTTTTTATATATTTTCTTTTCAATGCTTGCTTGGTTTCTCAATAGTTGTGAAAACTTGACCACCTTACTTTCATTCTCCCCAACTTGTCTGTTCTCGTCCCCTAAGTGAATGCTCTTACTTTTTTCAGCAAAAGAACAATGAATCAAAATCTCCAAGGTTTTAAGAACAAGATTTTTGAACTCTTGCTTTTTTTTTTTTTTTTTTTTTTTTTCAAGCAAGGATTCAATTGTTTAGGCTCAAAATGGTACAAGAACAAGACATAACAAATTACAAATTGAAAAAGGGAAACAAGAACACTTACCTTTTGGATTGTTAGTGATGAATTTGCAGCAAAGGGTTGAAAGAAGGTTGGAAGGGATTGTGAGAGTGAGGCAGAATAGAACCGTTAGGGTTTCTGATGCAATGAAAGGGTGAAACGGTTTCTGGGCCCAGGTGGCCCTTTATATTTTTTTTTTCTGATACCGCATATTCGCCAGGCGAATGCCAGCGAAAGCTCGCCAAGGCTCGCCAGGCGAATACTCGCCTTCATTCGCCAAGCGAACGCTAGCGAACATGACAGGTTTTTCTTAGTTCTACTGCATTGCCCACTTCACTAGTCCACTTCCAACACTTTCCAAAAATGCATAAAATGACATAAAAACAGGTAAATACTTACAATGTTGAGGTGCCTCTCAACAAGCGCTTGTTTAACGTCGGATAAGCTCGACGGTCCATGATGCTCACAACGGACCATCAAGAAGATACGCACAGCTGTCTCGGTTCACCTGACCGCCGAGATATATCTTGAGGCGCTGACCATTTACAGTCCAGCTGTCTTTCTTTTCCAAATCCTCAATTACCACCGCTCCGAAAGATTTGACTTCTTTGACTCGGAAAGGTCCAGACCACTTAGATTTTAATTTTCCAGGGAAAAGCCTCAACCTGGAATTAAACAACAGCACAAACTGCCCGGATGCGAATTCTTTCTTGCGGAGCTTTTTGTCGTGGTACTCTTTCACCTTTTCTTTGTACAACCAACTTGAGTGGTATGCGGCATTGCGCATCTCTTCCAGCTCAAGAAGTTGCACTTTCCTTTTATCACCGGCCAGCTCTTGATCAAAATTTAAAAATTTTAAAGCCCACAAGGCCTTGTGCTCCATTTCAACCGGTAAATTGCAGGTTTTACCAAAAACCAATTGAAATGGAGTTAGCCCAATTGGAGCTTTATAGGCCGTGCGGTACGCCCACAAAGCTTCATCCAATTTTTGTGACCAATCCTTCCTAGAGTTAGACACAGTTTTTTCCAGATTTTTTTTTATCTCTCTATTCGAAACCTCGGCTTGACCATTAGCCTGTGGGTGATACGGAGTTGTCACCTTATGCGTTACACCGTAATGTTGTAAGACTTTTTCTAACGGTGCATTGCAAAAGTGTGATCCTCCGTCACTTATCAACACTCGAGGGGTACCAAAACGGGAAAAAATATTTCTTTTTAAGAAACTTATTACTGTCTTAGCATCCGCTCTCGGTGAGGCAATCGCCTCAACCCACTTAGACACATAATCAACAACCACCAATAAGTATTCATTTCCGAAAGATGGTGGGAATGGTCCGACAAAGTCAATGCCCCAGCAATCAAACAACTCCACCTCTTGAATATTTTGAAGAGACATCTCATCTCTCTTTCCAATCCCACCTATCCTTTGGCAACTATCACAATTTTGCGCATGGGCATTTGCGTCTTTAAAAATAGAAGGCCAATAGAATCCCGATTGAAGGACTTTATTCGCCGTTCTTGCCCCATTAAAATGCCCGCCATAAGGCGAATTGTGACAATGCCATAGGATACTTTGGGCCTCATCACCCGTAACACATCGCCTCAACAAATTATCACCTCCCAGCTTAAACAGGTATGGATCATCCCACACATAGTACCTGGCATCCGATAAGAATTTTCTTTTTTGGTTGGGAGTTAGGTCGAGCGGCACGAAACCACTCGCCTTGTGGTTTGCGAAATCCGCAAACCACGGTCTCACTTGCACTTTAAAAAGTTTTTCGTCGGGAAACTCTTCTTGGATGTCCTGTTCTAAGGTAGTCACCTCAGTGTTGACAAGGCGAGACAAATGGTCTGCTACCACATTTTCGGATCCTTTTTTGTCTTTAATCTCAACATCGAATTCTTGCAATAAAAGGATCCACCAGATAAGCCTTTGCTTAGAATCCGGCTTGGTTAGCAGAAATTTGATCGCCGCATGATCAGTGTAAACAATAACTTTCGAGCCAATGAGATATGACCGAAATTTTTCG